GAAAGAGACTGAAAGAAAAAAATGCTCCCAAGAAGAAACCTTTTGCTTTTAACTGTAGACCTAACCAAAAGCCTGCGGAGATGAGGTTTCTCTAACAAAGAGCGGTGTCCTCTTAATCCATACTGTTAGAGTCCCTCTAAAATATCCATTAGACAGCAGAGAAATATATGTATGAACTCAGAAGATGCTGTCCAGAACATGTTACTAAAGCAGTGCCTGATCACAAGCTGATCTAAGCTTACAGTCCATTATCGTAGGCAAGGTAAGTTGCGGGGGTGCTCAAGGACACGCTGCTGCTGCTGCTACTTCACCACGTACTTTTGCCTTTCACACCTATCCTGACCACTTCTTCTTCCAGTCGGGATCACCCGTCCTTCCCCTGACTACCAAGCGTAGGAAGCGTTTGATGCAAACGAAAATAAACTATTGGACCTTAAAAGACTCCAGCTTTCCATAGCAAGTGCTCTGTAGATCAGTGCCAGTCAGTAGACCATATTTTGAGAGAAAAAGCACTGGACGCAGCTGCTACACCGTTGGTTTAAATGAGCTAAGTAACGCTCTTCTTTCAGAGCTGAGGTCTGTCTCTCTATAGTTTGCTGCAAAGCTGCACTGTGTTGCCCCTCCTGGATGTGGCTGAGATCCTGGTTTCTCTTCTCAGGACGCTCTGGCGTCTGCCGAGCTACTGCAGAGCCTGGGGATGCTACTGTCAGTGCATAAAACAGACCCTGTGATTGTCGGCCATGCTGCTTGTATCATCAAAAACCTGAGCCTTTCCAAAACCAGACAGGTATGTACCCAATGTTTTTCACTGAACTATACCCTGGGAGGTTGCAGTTATGTTTATATCAAATCTGCATTACCCACAGAAAGAATTTTTTTTTTTTTTAATAAAATGTACGCCAAGGATACTCTACACAAAATTGTGTGTATGAATAAAAGGACCTGATGTGCCATAATGAAAGGTGGTTTTTTTTTTTCCATATTTTCCCAATACAATACAGAAATGCTAATGAAAATAAGAAATACCTAATTTTTCCTATGAGTGATGTGGTTATCTAATTTGAATGACTGCATCATAGGTATAAAACATACTTCTAGCAAAGATATTTCATACTAATTAAAGGAACCATCCAGGAGAATCTGAGCCAAAAGGAAAACTATTATTTCCAATATTTTTTTTTTCACTGATACTAAGATAAGAATTCTATGAATTTCTGATAGTTGTGAAATCAATTTTTGCAGGGAAATAGATTCCCTCAAACTTGAGGCCCACAGTAAGAGTAAAAACGGACCATCCTTTCAAAGTTTGCTTTAAAAAAATTCACTTAAATTCTGTGACTTTATTCTGTTATCAGCAGGGAGCTGGTTCACCTTCACAAAGCTTTATAACGTGCCTTGCAATGTATTTAGCTCGCACTGCACAAGTGAATCAACAGACGTGAGTGGGAGTGCCAGGTTTCCAGGGTCAATTCTAAGGAACCATCCCTAAAACGCATAAGGGTCCTTAGCACAAGAGGAAAAAAAAGTGATGTTTTCTTGCCAGTGGGACACAGACAGAGTGCGAGAGCTTGACAGGCAGCAGTCTTGAATCCAGCTTCAACCTCTAAGCAGCAGGTTAAAAAACTGCAACGTAAAATGCGCACACAAGAAAAGGTACTCCCTTTTGTTGATAGACACCCGAGCTCCTTGATGGATGTGTGAGCAGCTTCCATTATTGGGACCTCCCAGAGAGCTGACGACTTTGTGATTCAACTTCTCTAGTATCCAGGCACCTCCAGGTGACTCCTTCAGGACTCATTCCTTGGTCTCATGTGCTTTTAATGCAGGTCAACGCAGGCTAAGTCTCCTGTTTTCAACTCAGTCTCTGAAATACATATCCCAGTACAGAGACATGCTGCCCAACACTGCTTTTAGCATAGCAGATTCAACCTAAAAGATAAGGGATACATAGAAATGTTTAATTCATAACATTTCTCTCCAGAAAGAGAACTCACCTTTGCTAGCGAGAGGTCATCTCCTATTTCTGCAGATCAGAGCATTTCAACACCAGAAAGTTCTCAAAGCCCTGGAGGCAAATAAAAGAAAGTGATAAACTTCCACATTTCCCAGTGCTTTGCCCTGGGGCACTCAGCCTATTCACCTCTGCAGCAAGACTTGAGCAAATGACAGCTTAATACTAATGTACAGCCTGGTACAGCAGCAATAGGTCAGGAAAGTCTTTGAGCTCAGAGTGATCTGTTATCATGAGAACATCCCACAGACAGAGCGAGCCCTGGGAAACATCTAAAATCAGGCGATCTCTGAACACCCTAAGTTTTTTGTCACCTGGTTGTGGTAGATCCGGGAGGAGACATTTCCATTATTGGTGTTTTAGCCCTCAGTATTGAGTTACTCAGTCCTTCTGAAGTCCTCAGACACCACTAAAACATAATGAAAGTGCTAAACACCAATCTCTTTCTTGTTGCAGAGAATCATTGAAAGCCCCTGTATTGAAGGTCTCCTCCAGACCATGCTTTCTACTGACATTCAAGAAGACTCTCTTCATTATGTGACATCGTGCCTTGCTGAGCTGGCAAAGCAAGGTAGGGAAGCAACCCCACCATAAATGGCTTAATCTGAGAAGCGTCCGCATCCTTTTTTAATCCTAATGGGCGATGAAGCACGGGTGGGCATACGGCCCAGGTCTTTCCCTTTAAATTCACTGGGAGTTTTGCCATAAGCTTCAAGAAGAGTAAGATCTGACCTACTGGCAGGAGACATGCGCTCCGTTGTTTGCACTTTTTTCTGTTGAACTGCTTAAATACTCAAAGTTCTTTGTGCTGAACTTTACTGCTGTACATGGCCTGTCTACTTCTATTTGTAACGTCACCCAGTTTCTCTGGCTGAATTCATTTCACGACAGCAGAAAGTAATATAAGAGGAGGAAAAGGCTAAAATACAAAGTGGCTTTTTCTCCTTAAGTTTCTTGCACATAGATTTGATAAAAGATCCCAAATTACCACCTGCGGAACGTACAGTACTCCTCATGGCACAGAGGATCAATGTAAATCTCCCAGCCTGTCCCAGCACTGGATATTGCCTGTCAAACATTTCATCTCCTGCATCTCTTGTAACCACCATGTGATTGGTGACACGTCACATTTAATTTTGCAAGAGGTGCCCAGCAGCTGCTGGACAGGTTGAGCCCACTACGCAAGAGTGAATCTCGTACATAAAATGATTCATTCTTTCAGAACACAAAACCAACAAAATAAAAAACCATCAGCCTTTCTCCGAATCAAATCCATGGCCCTACCTTACTGAGAGCATCACAGGACGTGACCCTTTTTTACGATCTAAACATACTTATTGCACAAGTTCGGCATTTATTTTGCTTCTCTGGCTGTGGAAAGAGTTTCCTATGTAGGCAGTATGTTTTCTGGCAGACCTCTCACCTTCATTTCCTCGACACTGGAGTTTCTGTTTACAGACTACACTCTTACCTTTCTGTCTTCCAGAAGGAGCCACGTTACGCATGGTCCAATGGATGGATGAACCCTTGACAAAGTGCTTGGTGAGACTGGCTGGCCAGCTGGAACACACCGAGGCATCCTTTCAAGCTGCTTCCATCATCAAGTACACGATAGGTCACGGTAACTGTCACACAGCATTAACTGTGCTTTCAAAGCTATTTACGGCTGTCTGGAGTGAAATGAGCCTTTTCCCAAAGGAGTTAACTGTCAGGCACTGGACAACCTTTAACATTACTATAGCATCCTCCATCTGGTCTCTACAAGTTTAGTAACATAAAAGCACCTACAGTCACCCTTGAAATACACATAAAACAGCGCTTGAGTGCACGAGAAAGCCAAGGGATGAAAAGGGACCATAGAGAAAGATCTGATTCAGGTGTCTGTTGCCTTCTTCAAGCACTACCATTCTGCAGGGCTACTCTGTAGCCCATTCTGAGGTCCTTAAAAACAACTTCAGTAGGAAAGTGGGATAGCGTAAAACACTCCTTACCAAGGGAAAGATGAGAACGTTTCAGACGAGGCACTGTCGCATCTTTCTCTTTGACCCTCCTTCTCAGTATACACGATGTGACGGCATTCCCCACAGATAGGAGCAGAGGTTGGGAGAGAGAGTTACAAGGGGATGGTTGTGTTCCAAAATTTTAGATCAACTCTGCTCCCTGACCAGCAAGAGGAAAGCAAATGGAACCAAATGCTGCCATTGTAATTCTAGACTAGATTAGCAGGAGCAGTGAAGTAAAGTGGCTTTTAAGAATGTAACCTGTAGTTTTTTAAGTTTTAGTGAGAGAGAATCATAGAATCGTTAAGGTTGGAAAAGACCCTTAAGATCATCGACTCCAACCGTTAACATAGTACTGCCAAGTCCACCACTAAACCATGTCCTTGAGCATCACGTCTACCCATCTTTTCAATACCTCCAGGGGTGGAGACTCAACCACTTCCCTGGGCAGCCTGCTCCAATGCTTCACCACCCTTTCAGTGAAGAAGTTTTTCCTAATATCTAACCTAAACTTCCCCTGGCGCAGCTTGAGGCCGTTTCCTCGTCCTATCGCTTGTTACTTGGGAGAAAAGACTGACCCCCACCTCGCTACAACCTCCTTTCAGGTAGTTGTAGAGAGCGATAAAGTCTCCCCTCAGCCTCCTTTTCTCCAGGCTAAACAACCCCAGCTCCCTCAGCTGCTCCTCATAAGACTTGTGCTCCAGACCCTTCACCAATGAAAAGAGCGTTATTTTTACGTGCAGAAAACAAACAGCTTTATACCTAATGTATTTGTCCCATACAGCTGAGAGCCTTTAAGACTTGCAAGAAAAAGCTGCCCAGATGATTCTTGACACGTTCTCTCAAAACGCACGGTTGGATTTTAATCCTTAGATGTGAGAGAAACTGAAGTCCGTAATGGGTCTCTAATAAGGGAAAACACAAGCCTGTTTCAATCCTGCCACTGAGGATTTGCAACAGAGCAGACTCTCAAGTAGTGAAGAGAGTCCAACAGCGGAACGGCTTCATGGATGGGTTGGCCCGACAGGCTGATCGGTCCCTACACCAGCACACACCGTGCCCAAGGACCGGCTTCCTAGCGCAGCAGCCCACTCGGCGTTTCGTTTACCGGAAGCACCAGCAATGCCGTTGGAGGCTGTAGCGCATGGAAGTCCTTTGCCATTCTTTGCAATAACATTGGTTGTAGCTGAAGTTAATGAGTCATTAACGATCTTAAATGTTGTTTCAAAAATCAGTTTTCAAAGCGTTTCAAAGGCTCCTATTGATCTCCAGCGGTTCTCCCATTTATGCAGAAAAAATGCTGCTTTTGTTGAAGCATCACGTCGGAGAGATTCAGGCTTACCTCAAGAATTTTCTTACCCACCAAGAGATCCGCTTTCAGCAGCTGGGCATCTCTACATTCTGCGGGCTGCGAGAAGGTACGTCCTCCCTGCCGGGCCGAGCCCCCGGGGCCCTGCCGGCCGCTGCCTGCTCCTATCAGCCGCAAACCGGCGCCGCTTCCTAACAGAAACGACAGCGCTGGGCAACTTTCTCTGGGGACTAGCTCTGCTCACTTAAGCAACCGAATAATCTCAAGGGTAGCTGTTACCTTACCTGTTTTTAAGTAATTAAGAGTATCTTATGATAAAGGCAGGGTTTTTTTTTTTGTTTGTTTGCTTTAAAACTAGAGGCTTTCTGATCAGCAGGGAAACAGGACTTCAGGTACAGACGTTTCTAGCCAATGTAAGAATGTTTGGCGCTAGACACAACCTAAAAACTTCTCAAATATGAGTTTAGTTTATTTTGATAAAGCAAGCAAACAAGGAAATTGCATAATTAGCTGGTATTAAAGCTGGGAAGTCTCACATCTTTTTCATACTTTAAATCTGTTCCTTGATTTTTTTCCCATTTTTGGTTAGATTTTTTGGTTTGGGGTAGAAGTTGAGTACAGATGAGAGTTATAATATGGTAATAAATGTATATAGTGTTTATCTTCACATATGTAAAGCCAGAGCCAAGACCCTGCTATGTCTTGATGCTCACCTGTTGCACGAGGCTGAATTTGGCAGCTGAGCTTGAGACGTCTGGATCAGGAGAATTTAGCAGCAATCAATCCTGAATGGTTGTAGGGATGAAAACTGAATTTGTATCTGCTTGGTGTGGTAGAAAAATATCGTTCTGCCTTGTCTACACTTTACACTGTAATAAGAACCATCAACTGTATCTAACGAGAAATATAAGCTTTCTAAGCATCCCCATTAAAATACAGGGAAAAACAGGAGGTTGCCTAACACTTGTTTTTCCTCTTCAGATCCAGAATTTTCATTAGCATTCAGAAAAAGCCAAATGGCCAAACTCCTTGAGCAAGTCCGTCAACAAACAGAAGAAACTCAAGAGCTCCTTAGGGCAGCTATTTGCCACGAAGACAGTTAATATTTAAGCCGGATGGCTTATGAAAACTTACCAGATCCAAGAGGCTGAACTTTCAGAAGACAACTCTTTTCATTGGTTCCTGTAGTTCAAGTTTTCCTGCTACTTGCAGTTTCACGATACAAAAGAGATGTTCCAATAACAAGAACCGGAGCAGGTCAAAAGACAAGCCCTTGAACACTTTGGCTGTTATATATTCCTTCCAACAGTCTGGAAAACACCCGTTACGCTTGGGCAATCTTCCATGGTTTGTTTTTGGCTTCCTCACCCCACCTTCCAGAAAAACAGCACTGTATCCATGAGGTTTTATTCACGTAAGAGGACAATTTTACCGAAGAGGCATCTCTCAAGTAGGCAGGTTACTCTGCATTCATCTTTATTTTGTTTCTGTTCCATGTCCTTTATTTCAGAGCACGCTCCAGGGACTTGACTTTAGAAAATAATTAACACATAGTATAAAGGTAGCAAACTACTAACAGTTTACTACAGAAAGTAACTGCTGAGGGACGACTCAGAAATTGCAAGAAATTTGTAAGAAACAAGAATAGGGCAAGCCTTAAGGCTGATCCTTGCCTACGCTGTAGGCACTACTCGCCCGCAGAAGAGCAAAGGCACATTGAGGCAGGTAAATGTTGCACAGAGGATGTTCAGAAGATAGCAGCTACCACAAAAGATTTGGGCGAGATGGGTTTGAATACAGAAATCTGTGTTCTGCAAATGGTAAATTATTTCCAAAGGTACTTGCAAGAGGGAAAAAGTGAACATATTTGGCAAAATCAGGAATTGATCTTATAATTGGATATTGATACTTCATTTTAAAAGGAGTTAAAGAACAAAAAGAAGTAGTAATATGTTTAAATTCGACTAATTTTCTTACATGTATACAGGATACTGAACAACCTCCTCTTCCCTCTCCTCCAGAGGGAAAGTCTGTCTCGCAGACCTTTTAGCCAATCAAAACAGTATTTTTCAGGAAAAAAAAGCAGCAGAGCCTTGAAATTATGGGGCACTAGTTTTTTAATGTAGGTTTTAATTTGTAAGAGAATAGTAATATAATCATCATCATCATCATCATCTATTAGTAATCCAATTCCACCTTGTTTTCAATCAATACACTTGTTTTCAAATACGAGAAGCCTCCTGGAGCTTCATATTGAACTGGCGGGAACACCGAAGCTTTGGAAGCACTCTTGGGGCAAACATCTGCTCCCAGACAGCACAATTTCTTAGGAAAACATTTCAGAAGAGTTTCCTGTCTTTGGAGGTACTTCTGATCATGGTATAACTCTTACACGCACGTAGAGCTTTAGAGCTGCTACTGGCTACAAACATGAAATAAAAGCGAGATGAAAAAAAAAAAAAAAAATCATTCTGTCAACTAAGAGCTCAACATTGCCTTTTACTGTGGCCCTAATCTCTAAGCTTAGTTTTGGTGCTTGGGGGAGGCATTTCTGTTAATAATTCCTTTTAGTAACTGCAAGTCCTCCCCAGCAGTACTGTTTAACAAAACCCCAACCAAAACGGCACCCAAAAGCCTCTCTGCAGCACAGTAAAAGACCTGTTAAAGAACAGGGCAGAGAGGAACTTCAGGTAAAGCAGCATGGCGTTTTCAACAGTTATTTGTGAGATTTCAAATCTCATGTGAAAGACCCATGTGCTCAGCTGTGGGCAGCGGGGTTCATTAAAACAGAGGACTACAAAGAGCTGAATGACACAGCTAGGAACAAAAATCAGAAAATCTCAAAAAAAGGCCACCTCTTTGGGTGACTTTAGATAATTTTCCAAAAAGAAAATCAGTACAATATTAAGTAAGGACATTAGAATCTCTCCTGTATCTGTATTCTTAGGTATTTAATTGCAAATATTACTTCAAGGTCTTAGCAAGAAAGAAAATAATGAAACATTCTTCATCAGGAATGAGGAGATAAGAGACACGTGAAACAAGCAAAGCTAATGGTGAATAACCCAGTAGTTGTGATGTACTGAACTGAATTCACTGAACATCATTCATCCCCGTAAGCATTTACGTTGTGCTGTTAAGATGTGAGGAGGAGCCGAGCCTTTCCAAAGCACAGAGCCTCGCTGCTGTGAAAGGTCACTGCTCCATAGCGTCAGAACAGCTGTCTGCGACTCCTGCAGCGGCCAGTTCGACCTCACGGAATAGTGAAGCGTTGCCCCTTAGTACAAACAACAAAACCAGTTGCAATAGCGGGCAAAGGAGCTGGCCTTCATTTGATACCGTATTTTATTGTCAAGAGAAACATTCAACATAAGAAAAACTATCTTTCCCTGCATTTAAAGAAAAGGGGCTTAACCAAAGACTTAAAATTTCAATCCTTTTGTTTTTTTTTTTCTCCATTCATACACCTGGTTCTACTCCCAATGCGCTAGCTTTTAGTTTGTATGTCAGGCCCTTGAAAAGGAGGAAATTTTCTCTCTCTTGTTTGAAGCAAACCTAGAATGAATATAATTATAAATTGTTTTTACTGCAGTCCTGTTCAAAAAAAACCCCTAAAAACCAAAAAAACAAAACACACATGAGAAATGAAGCAGGCTCTTCATCTGTGCTGCAAACAGTGAAGCAAGTGTTCTGAAGTCTCACAAAAACCAAATCAGCATAATTTATACCTGAGCCTAAATACATCAAGATCAACATAATTTAAACCTGAGCCTAAATGAATCCTCAGACTTAAAATTGAAGCTAAATCTTACTGGCTATTTCTTTGCTCTGTTTCTAGCTGCAAGTGACTCTGTACTGATTTTCTAGTAAAGAGATTAGAGGAAGCCTGAAGAAAAGTTTTAAGCAGACCAGGAGTAGCAAGAAGTTTTCTCCATCACAGATTGACTCCTGCTTCAACTATGCAAGAAAATGAAAATATAAATAGAAATAAATATTTCAAACAAGTTTTATTTGGTGCTTACATGCTATATATAGGTTTAAAGAAAAACTACATATTTTTGACACTTCAAAATATTGTGGCCATGTACATGGAGAACTAAAGAAAGGAACCCAATTCATTTTACTGTGTCACAAGCTACTAGGGAAAGCATTCTCACCGAATGGCTGTTTTTTCCCTTCTATACGTATTCTGGCAGATGAAGTCTCTTTTTCATTGCATTTCCATTGCTTTTATGCCATCTCCTGTATAAGATGAGCACTTGGCAGCAGCAGAAAGTAATTTCTTCAAAAATTCTTCAGCTTTTGTCTCGGAGGATTTCTTCTGCTAGCATAGGCTTTCTGCACAGCTTCCTGCAGGCCTAGCTCAGTTCTCACTAAAGGCAAGTGCAGGAATCTTAATGGTATGTTCTCCGGTAGAGAGAACTGAAGGGCATGAACTGAAGCCCCATAAACCTCCGTTTCCCCAGGCCAAGGATCTCCTCACTGACTTCAGTGAGCAACGCATCGAGCTCTGGTTGGTGCTTCAAACTCAAACACCTAAAGTGAGCTCTAGCTCTAAGAGCACTGTTTATCAAAGCACAAACACGTGCAAGATTTTACAGTTCTGCCCAACAGCAACCAAAAGCGAGGGGTGGAACAATGACAGTAGAAATCAGCGTCAAACTAAAGAGAAAGCAACCTGCATTGTTCCTCTTACCACTCAAACAGTACTGCTTTATAAAAATCACACACTACATAAAAAGCACAATGACCATTTTCCATTTGCTCTGAAATGAGCAAACCCAAAAGATCCCCAAACAAACCTGCTTCATCATCCAAAAATCAAGTATTTCAGGTTTCACACAGTCTTCAATAGTCCGATAAGGCAAAGGCAAAGTCTCCCATCATTGGGAACAGCAGCAATTTACAGGACTCAGAACAAGGTGTTTCCTTGTGTACGTGCGCACATGCGTACGTGTACACATCTTAGAGTATTGTGAACATGGATGTAGTTAAAAAAAAAAATCAAGCTTGCAGTATTGTTTTACCACATTTTTCTAATTTATTCAATTAAATGATTTATTTCTGTACTGAACAAAATTCATAAATACATCATCTAGGAGAACAATAGGTTTTCCTCTTGTCCATGAAAAAATAACGCTTTCAAATGTTCACATTTTAAAACCTGCCTTGTTTTGTGTTTTTAGAGAAAATGCGAGAAGATCATAGTGACGTCTCAATTTACAGAATGTCCCTGTAGGAATTACATTTACAAGAACCTGATACAGAAGCCTATACTTTGCCCCCATAATTAGAGTTCTCTGCAATAATATTCAAACCAACAGGTTTAAATAAAACACCCCATTAACTCTACTTGTAGAGCAATGAGGTATTTATTTTTCAAGTATTAGAACCACAAAGTGTAAAAGATTCTTTGCCAATTTTACAATTATGCCTTTTAAACCAACACCCACCTTTTTAAAAAAAGAATCAGTCCCACCACCTAAATCAGCCCATTGCTTCCAGATTCCAGTGTCTTGTGTCTTAAGGAATGCAGAAATATCCATTTACTAACAGAAAAAGCTTGTTGGAAAAAGCCATATTAAGTAATGCACGTGAAGCATGATTTTTCTAGTGATGAAAGCTATTAGAAAGGTGATCCAAGTCTATTCCCATCATTTCTTCTGCTGGTTTTACTAAAGTCCTTCCAAAAAAGATATTCAAGAAATCTTTAAAAAACTGGAGAGAAAAAATAAAACACTCCTTCATAGCATGGAAGAAACTCCACTGACTGCAGAGATGCTCACATCACCTTTGGTTCTTCAGAAGAAACTATCAGATCACTTCTACAAGAGAAGGTATCAAAAATGACAGGTCAGCAAACAGTGACAATGTTTACTTCAAAATGCTATGCATTTATGCAATTATTTTATTGTAAGATGATTTTCCTTACATTTTCTAGCCACAGAAAAAGAAAATGGTAGTCCAATTTAGTTTGCTAAATTAGTACTTGTTTACCTAACATCCTTTAAAAGTTGTGATGTAATTCAGAAAAATTTAGTGTCCTGCAAACCATCCCTCAATGTTAATGTCAGCAAGAACATGATGAAGGAAGTACATCCAGAATTTTACATAGAAGGTAGGTACCAGCTCCCCTTCTGCATGTGCGTACCAGATACTACGCCTGCAGAACTGGAACACGGTTGCTGATCCTAAGCTAGGAACAGTAGGTGTCACTGTTATCGTTTCTGTTTGAAAGCACAGGGCAAACATTTTCAAGTGACTTCAAATGGCAGAAAGTGCGATGTAACTGAGGACCCCACCTCAAACAAAAGGTAAGGCCTCACCATAATTTGCACAGCATCTCTATGTACTTGGCATGCACAGCTTTACAACGAGGAGATACACTCCTTTCCCCCAATAATATGGGGTTTAAAAATGCTTAAATTATTCAACTTAAATCAATTAAGAGCTCTAAGATCCTCTGTCAATTACAACACAAGTGTTAATGAACCAAGGCAAACCTACCTGCTGTTTGATGTGTTTGAACACTATCTACCTGAGGCAAAAGAGTCCCCTTATCTTCAAAGGCTAGAATTGGATTCAAAGGAATTTCAGGACTATTGCTTCCGTCATTGTTCATGGCATCCAGCCGGGATGGTTTAGAACCAATAGGCAGGTTTATGATCTCTTCGAAGTTATCATTCTGCATAGACATTCCATTTTCATTTGCATTCTTCTCCGGATTGAGACTGCTGAAAGAGAAACAGGTGTTTCCTCATACACTTAGTCTAGAACAGAAATTTAGTTCTCCTCAAAGCAATATTACAAATGGAAAAGCCTGCATTAAAAAGAGCATTCTTTTAGCCAGTAAAAAAACCCTACACTTCTACCACAGTAGAAAAACTGTTTTTGCAGCCAAGTACTAATATGCCTTCCCTCAAATACACAGGATAGTTGTTAGTTTGGCTACGCTATACCCAGAACTACAGAGAGCTTTATGGACGTGGCAGTTCTGAGAAGTGACTGAAATGGGAAGCAGTAAGAAAACGCCCGCAGCACCACCACTGCTGTCTTGAGCCACCCACCTAATACAATTTACAGCCTCTAACGTCTTTTTCAGCTCTCGTAACCTTTGCCATACCCTTCCTCTTATTGCAAATCACTGTAATTGCCCTTAGCTAAGATCATTGTCATTTTTGTTATTCCTTGGATCACTTCCTGCCTCCAGTTTCTGAGCAGTTTCTTCCACCTGCCACTCAGGCAGAGAAAAAACTCCTTTCCCAATGCAGTTCTCCTTTCAGTCCCTCCTCCCCTACAAGTTCTCAGGGCTTATTTCCAAGGCACTACCTGTGTCTGCACTCCTCCTGTTGATCATGCCCAAGCCAAAAGAAACACCTCCCAGCATCCCTCATGTCAATCTGCACTTTGTTTTTCTATCTCCCACTTGACAGAGACGCCGTATGAGCAAGCTCTTGTACATCTCCCCCAGTCAGGAGCAGGACAAGCACAGGCACACTCTCCAATTACACATGCTCTCCTGAGAAGATACGTGATCACGACTCACCGTCTGGCCCCTCCCCTCCCAACCCTTTTATTAGGCCCTGTATTGTCAAATCCTGCTGTCTTTGCAGATGGCACCCGCTGTCTTGCCAGAGGGGAGAAACTAAGGTGCTACTTCAGTGAACTCGATGACAGTAATGGGACCATAAGCTCCTTGAGAAAGAGCAAGTACTCAACTGACGCTCAAAAATCATGTGATCTTTCACAGGTGCTTCTTAAGGCCCTCAACAGTTAGATCCTGACCTTCTTGGGTACCTATTCCCTATTCGGACCACATCACAACTGTTCAGGTTGGTTGGAAATGCTTCAGCCACGAAGGCTCAGATGCAATTTTCCTAGATTTAAACTAGGCTATCAATTTCCTCAGGCCACTTCTGAGCAGGTGGCTTGCTTTCACAGGCTAATTTTCTCCTGACAGTACATGGACTAGTCTTAACAAAAAAAAACCCAAACCACCTGCTTGTAATTGGCATATGGTTTCTTTTCATTTGCTGGCTTCTTTGGGTGTCCAATTCTTCACAAACAATTACAGAATTGTTTTACAGTGCTTCCCAAGAGACAGAAAATAATTATTGCTCTTTTGAAAGTAGCAACACTTTACCCAAAGCCCAGGTTTCCTGTGAGAACGACATGCTGGTTTTCATATCAAGCCTTTCCCAGTTTTTCAAACCAACACTAGGGTTTTTTTTTGTTTTGTTTTGTTTTGTTTTCAGAAAGGCATTCCCCTTTTTTTCATCTGTGGATATGCTGAGTGACTTTCAAAGTGAAAAGTATGTTTCACTGCACTGAGTTTGAGAGCAGACACAGAAATCCTGCTGGCTGCCTGGGAGAGGCCACAAGTCACATCACCCTTTTGTGCCAGAGATCCACATCTGTAAGGTGAGGAGCAGAATCTGTGAAATGCTTTAGGACTAATAAAACGTGCTCTATAATGTATAGTTATTATGTTATTATTCACTATAAGGTATCCTATTACTTATTTCATCCCCATCTACTACCAATAACCTTGCCAGAGCTAGGATAACACAGCAAGTTTGATGGACGGGGTAAGAAAGACGGGGGAAGAGAAAAACTGCTCATTCATGTAAATTAAACAGCACAGTACTTCAATAAGCATTGGTACAATGAAGACTCTAGCTTCTGCAAACAGATATTAATGTTTTTACCTATGAAGTCAGCTGATCAGTCAGATAGATAGTTCTTCATATTTATTTGTCATTGTGCTGCCAGTATTACATACTTAGACCAGGATTCACAGACTTGAAAGATGTCTTTTCAGACAGAGGGGTCTATACAATCACAAAGAGGGTACAGAAGAGGAAACCATGACTATGAATCTTCTATATTTTACGCTAAAAAATCTTTTATATTTTATGCTATTTGCTCCACCAGATTACTAGGAGAGCAAGTTAGAAGAAACAAAGGGAAAAACAGAACTGTGGAATTAATTCCACTGGACATCTTAAAGGCCATAAGCTCAAAAGGAGATTAGACAAATTCCTAGGAGATTGGTATACCCTCCAGCTTCTGGTAATTAGCAGCTTAGGGACTACTCGAGTCTATGGTTGCATTTGGGCCACAATGCTTAGTAACCCTTCATTGACCAGAGGATCTCCTGGTACTTACCTTTTTTTCCTTTGCGCTCTCTCCCTAAGTGACTGCTACAGGCGATTAAAGCCAAGAACACAAAAAGTAATGGATTTTTGACCTGCTACAGCTGTTCTTACAGCTGTCTTATGTTACATTCTTAGCAACGTCTCAGTGTCCAGCACAACACTGGAGATACCCTTTTCAGGCATACAATATTGCAGGTATGTTTCTAAGAACTGGATAATTTTGGCATTGTAACACATTCCATAAATGTGCCTGTAGCAAGACACCCACATAATAAAAAAAAAAAAAAAGTTGCCTGAGTTATTCAGAATGCATTTCCAAACATAACAGTCTTGCAAGCATCTGAAGGATAGCTTCATGGCAGCTAAAAAAAAAAGCATCTGTGGGGCTTTGCATTTTGAACTGGACATACCAATATTAACAAGACAGACTAGAGGAAGTTGAAAGAAGAGCAGGTAATTTAATTAAAGGAACGGGAACATCAAAAAAATAAAAAGTACTGGAAATTACATCTGATGTAGATAATTTTAGCCAAAGCTCTGTGTAGACATAACCTATATGTAAAGAATTTGAAGAGAGTAAAGAAGGCAGAAAAAAGACCAGAATTTCAGAATTTAGTATGTCTGTCTTTCTGATCACCCATCTGAAATCAACACTGAATAAGAAGAAAAAAAATACCGATTTGCAGGCCTTTGGAATGTGCAAAAATACTTCTGCACCTGCTATTCCTGATCTGAAAGACAACGTCAGTTATCTCATTTATTGACATGATTTTAGCAGAGATGTCACAGATAGACATTAACAGGAAAACAGACCTCAGACTTTTGGATGATTTAAATAAAGAACTGTTTCTTTTTAATCCACTGAGACAACAGCACTGAAATCAGTCAGCAATGAGGAGCTGGAGGCCTAAAGAAGGCAAGGTGATGCTAAAGCAAATTTCAAGTCTGCTATTCTACAGACTGAGCAATGAACACTATGTAAGAATTTGACCTCAGTAACATTCTTTTCCAGGGACAAGATACTGAGGCAATCACCTTGTCTAACTGTATATTTCTAAAAACTGGTTATCTAACCTACCCAGACCCAGCTCCCTTTATACGGGATGGAGACAGGCAGATGAAGTGAACTGCTCTCACTGAGGCCCACTGCAGGCATTTATAGAAAGCAGCACAGAAAAAAAAAAATGGAATTACGGATAAGAGTAAGTATCATAAGGAAAATAACGTCAAGATAAACCACTGTACTGAAATAACTTTCTGAGAAGTAGCAGACAGGATCTAACTTGGGTAAAGAATCAGAAAGCAGAGAACATGCAATAATCTGCAAGTGGCAGATAGATTACGCAGCTGTACTCATTATCCAACTCCAAGTCCTATCATTGTGTTTCTTCCAGGATTCTACTGTTCAGTAAAGCAAGAAAAAAATCAGAATCCAGGAAAAATCTTGTTGGAATCTTTTATAGTTTACAAAAAGTTTGAAAATACTTTAACATTATATCTTATTTCCCAATAACTGTTCCAAATTGATTTTTCCATTTGTTGGGATAAAAACCCAAAACCCCAGAATCTAGCCAGAAGTAACATGCCACTAATAATATTGTAGCATCCATGAACTACCAGTTTTCTTGGTAATTCTAGATACTTTACTAACTAGAAAATTTCCATTGTACACTCCATTTAAAAATATATTTAGTGTTGCCCTTTCCATCATACTACACCTGGATGAGAAATGTCTTCATTTAAGTTCAATTGTGAGTCTTCTCACCACAGACTTATAGGTCAGATGTAAGGTCACTCCCTGCCCCCCCCCGCCCCCAATAATTCACTATTCTTCATTAGCATTCGAGCATTGAATTGTTTAACCCAGTTTACTTGTGGAGAAGACACTCAGAGCAAGCATCGGTGGCAAAAATCAGAACCCTTGCAGCACCACTTAAAACTACATACCACAAAAATCATGTTCATGTTCAGACACGTCATTTTAACTCAGACAACTATGAAAAAAGAAATTGTTTCTATGAACGAGAATTCATGTAAATCTGTTTGAAAACCTTGAGTGCTAACATGGTAAAACAGCTCAATTCACAAGCAAACAGATCTGTTTTTTTCTTTCATGATGCAAAGTGAAGAAGCTTTAAGCCTAAGGAAAACTGATGAATGTTCATTTGTTTGAAACACAGGAGTAGGAATACCAATAAAAATTTTGACAAACTATTAGGTGGGATAGATGAGTGTGCTGATCTATCATCTGCAATAAATGTTTATTAATAAAACTAATAATTGGTGACAATAGATATATGGTAAATAATGCAGCAGATCACAGCATTTTCATTAGGGTTTATAAAGATCAGTTGACTTGGAAAGCTAATGAAGTTCCAGTACAAGATCCGCATTGTGATCAAAAGCGGCAACAGAGAATGGTGAAGTATTGAAATCAATTGCCTTCACTCCGCCAGAATTCTTTTAATTTTTCTCAGTTGCATTGTACTCATGAGCATAGCAGCAAGCATGTTATTTCCAACTGAACCCCAGCCACAGAGCTGACACCCGATGGGGAGGAATAGGGATGAAGGTTCAGCACAGTAAGCAGTCAGGCAACCTTCTATTATGCCCCGGAGTAGAACCCCGTATCTTCACACAAACCTCTGGTCGCTTTCCAAGTCACCCTCCTTCAACGCTACTGGTGCAAGGGACAGAGCACCGGCAGTGTCTGGGGACTGACCCCAACTACAAGCATTCTGGGTTTGGTCACTGAACACCAACCACTAGTCCTGTTCAAAGACACACATTCAGGCTGGACCCCAGTGCTGTACAAAATAGACCCACCGACACCTACACTTCTTCTGTCCTAGACCCAGTGAAACTTCCCACGCTGTAGGATGAGAACGAGACTGACTGTTGCTCTAGGTCTTAAGAAGACTCTTCTCCTTCACTCCCTCCTCTTGCCTATACAAGCACATGCCACAAGTGCCCCAGGCAAAGCCTTTTTACGTTCTGGTCAGAAATCTGAGCTACCTTGCCCTTAAAACACATTCAAGTCTTGTCCAGACAAAAGCCAAATCTTTCTTGGGGCTGGAGTGAGGTGCTCACACAAGAGACCATCTCCACCTGCTGCTTTTGTGTGTGCTACAACATCAGGTATACCTAGATGCCAGACAACCGCAGCACATGAGATGCAGTAGCAGTGGTGTTGGCACCTGTGGCTTTTACCCTGTGATAAAATCTATGCTGCTATGTATTCCTTACAATGGTTTTTCAGGCTACCTGGGCTAAGCTTACACTGGGATGCTACCAAGTGCTTCAGCCGTTGCTTTCCCAGTCAGTGTGGATGTACCTGTAAGGTCCCTCCACACCCTGCCCTGGCATACCAGTTTCCCCTTCCACAGCCTTATACACACTTCCTACTTTCGTCGCTGTTCTTCAATCTCATTTATTTATTTATTCTTCACTTTGGCCATTCTGAGATTCCTTCCACATGGATTATAATGCTACATGACAGCATTCATGAGCGTGGCACATTTTATATTACAAACATCAAGGTGCGTATAAGGCTGGGAGTGATTAACATTTAATAGCTGCCCGAGACAATTATGAGGCAGCTCTGTGCAGCTCATCCAATGCAGCTCAGTGCCCAGTGTCACTGACAGAACTTCTCTCAGCAGGAGCATCCTTGTCAGCATGACAGCAGGCTAAGATCCCCCAGGCATATGGAGGGACAGAGAGGGCAAATTCCTCCTGCAATTAGTGCCAATCACACCCTGAAGCATACCGCCCATTACAGACTGCGTGATGGCTTCCCACATTCAAGTTTTTCCATGCATATTCTGGCACCACCTGCATAAAACATGAAAGGACTAAGGGATTATTTGGCTTTCTGCATTACTAAAATTGAAATAACTGACAGCTCATGCTTATGTAACAGATTTCACTCGGTTCAACACCGAGGTTTCAAGCATTTCAACGATTTCTCAAAGTCTGAGTGACTTGCTTCATGGCTACGGAGAGCTCTCAATGTTAAATATCTGCCTCCCCAAATTCTCCTTATAGAGGACAAAGGGTTTTTTTAAAATGCAAAGCCAAAACGAGTAGTTCTGTATCTCACATGAGGGACTTTTGCTCAGTAAGCAAAACTTGCTAATACTTCAAGCAGTTCAGAAATCGAAACATCTAGGCTGGAAGCACAGTGTTCATTATTCCAATTAAGACGACTAGCACTGCAAATCCAGAGTGGTTTTTATGGAGCTTAATTCATGGAAAGGAACAGGAAAAAAATGTCCTTTCCATTAAGTTTCAATTTATGTAATAATTGTTGGCAAACAACACATTGTTCCAAACACTGCAAAGAACGTGCTGTATTTTTACAAAATTCTTCCCTAGCAGTTGGCAAAAATGGGCTACTGCTAAGTGAAAGATGATAAAGATTCTTTTCTGAACACAGGGAAAGATAAAAATAAATAGGAAACAAGGCAGATTGAACAGCTGTCTCTGATTTAGTTAATGAACACATGGATCTGAAAATAATTTATTACTCTAGTAACCATCATCCTCTGAACACCCTCCAAACTTAGCAATGTTCTTACCTGTCCATATTTACGGGGGGTTGATGGGAAACAACCACACGCGTGCAGGTGACAGGTTTCCCGTTGTGCGGAGATTGCAGTGCGTGCTGAAGCTGAGGTCCTCCCGCAGGTTCCGAGGGAGATGCAGGACTGGTTATGACTAGAGAGAAAACAGGTTTTCATAAAACCAAGCAACACCCTCTACCTGCAGATTAGGATAAAACATTTCCTACAGAAGACAGCACAGGCAAAGCAAACTACAGTTTTAAGAAATAGAGTTCCCACACCCCTCCCTCTCCCACCCTGCCTCCTTTGTCAAGTTTTTTGGCACACAAGCCCTGTTTCAGGCCCGAAGTAAATGCCACAGATTTCAAAGCTATAGGTTTATAGACAAGAATAAACGTTTTGCAATGATATATACAATTCCAACACATAAGCCAGTGGTGAAAATAGGCTGGTATCTGATAGAATATTATGCTGGCACTTTTCAGGCAGCAACAGAGAATGGAATAGGATAACACTGGGACATCATCAATTCCATACACTGGTATTTCTTGGTTCCCATGTTGATCACTGACTGTAACCCAAAAGGAAATCAAGAGGAAAAAAAATCCATGGGAAGGATACTTCTTTCAACAAGTGCCAAATGACTACTATAAAATGCTGTAGAGAGAAACACAAAATTAGAGTATCCTTGTACCTTATCCAAAGACCATATGATAGATGTTATTGGCCTGCCTCAGGATGTTCCCTTAAAGTACAACTACAGCCTTCTGCATCGTATATACAGTCACACTAATCTACATACAGCTCAGTAAAAGGAAGCAATTGTACCCCACCCATACTAGCATCCGTTACAGTCATCACAAGGACAATTTAGTATTCATAGGCTTGGAGACATTTATCTCGGTTACCCAAAACCTCATCTGAAGAGATGCTCCTTCAGCTGCTCTTGTTTTGCTATGCTTTAAATGCTTGGGCTTGTCTTTTACACTGAAAGTCTTAGTCTGATCTTTGGCAAGTTTTTACATGAAATATATTAGCAATAGAGGTTTCAGTGCTTCTACAAGTGGAACAAGAGGAAAATACATTGGCTTTAACATTTAAGAGAGAAAAGCAGAGGTAAGTTCTGCTTTGGAAAGGCAGAGTTATCTCCTATTTTGAAGCAGAGGCCGAACAAATGACAAAAAGATGATGGGTTTTGTTTCATTGTGTGATTTGGCCATTTCCACAACACTCTCCTCCTATTTTGCCAAACAGTAAGACTGAAAAAAAGAAAAATCACCATTTGTGTATAGTCAGAAGTCTATTAGAGCATAATATGTAAAGTTAGAGTTAGCCAAAATATGTCCATTCATTCATACCTTTAACTCAATAGCATATCTAGATAAAGCAAAGCTGAACAGTAGAGCAGCCCTGAAGGTGAGGGCAGTTTTCTCTTTATCCAAGCACTCAAGTACTCCAGCCTTCCCTTGGGCCCGGGGAAATGGAGGTCCAAATTCTCATATGCCTTAGGAAACGGACTACTTGTCTTCTACCTCGGGCAGGAAAGTGCTAGCCACAGGTTATAGAGCCATTTATAGTTTCAAGAATTATTTAAGTGGTTTATAGCACCTTCAACAGTGCCTGCAGCAACAGATGGCATCCCAGATGCATTTCATATTAGCAGTTCCCAACCTTTTTTTTTTCCCCTAAGATAATATGTAAACAAGTAACATCCAAACTCACGTAATGAAAACTATGTTAAAAAGGTTTCCTGGCAGAGCTAATTATAGCATTCACTTTAAACAACAACAACAAAAAAGCAGTACACACAGCCAGTGCTGCTATTTGTCCTCTGTGTTACTCAACTCAAACACAAAAGAGAAATAAAGATTAATGTCTACAATAGGATAAGCCATTGGATAGCTTGACTTCAGTATCTTTAAATACTGCTAATTCATTCTTGGTGATTGTTGAATATGAGCTACATTTTATTTTGCTTCCTTCATTTTAAGTATTCAAATCTCATATAAAACTACCTAAAATGACCAGGAAAAAAAAAAAAAAGGATAGAGGGAACAGAATAGAAAGGAAGATTGAAAGTGTGGGTATGACAAGGAGACTCTAAGCTTTCGTAGGAGCTGAATTTTGAAAGAAACAGAAATTAAGACCAAGTGAATAAGGCAACAGGTGTGGAAGAGAGAAATCACATGGAGATGTTTGGATAACGAACAGCTTGTTTTGACAACCGAGATGAAATAACCCTTTGAGAAAATGGAATAAGTCTGCAACAACCACATCTGTAATACTATGCAAAAGAAGCTATAGAATCAGTTTCTTTTGTGATCAGAATCAGAAAATAATTTGTTTCTTTTCACTTTATAAATAATTAAACTTGGTAAGCAACTCTCTCTCATTAAACACCAATGTGACAAAGTTGCTAAAACAACTGACTCATTTAGTAACGGCTAAGTACCTATATGGAAAAGGCTAAATAAATAATGTTTGCTAAGACTTCAGTTATACTCCTCTCATGGTTTTCTTTACTGCAATTAGTGTGCCAAGTTTCAGAACTATATCTCAAGTCATTGTGCTTAGTAGGCATTTATTGACCGGTTGCACTCAAGGCACAGTTAAACACAATACCTGCTTCTCCAGTAATATTTGCCTTTGATATATGTCCATTTTGCTGGTCATTGGGTTTCTATGAAGAAAGCACAGTTTTGTAAATTAAAAATGGCACTAAAGAAGTGAAACATGCCCAATATTTACACATTAAGTAGCAGCACTGACCTTATCTACAGCTTCTACACGTCTAGTTCTCTTCATGATCTCCTCAAGCCTCTAAAATGAAATGTAAAGGGGTAAAATAATGTTTGCTGACATTAATTTAAAAATCTCTCCCAAACCACAACTGCTTGTCATTTATCAGTTGCATCTGTTTATTGCAAACAGATGAATTATTTATTACTGTTGGCAATATTCCCTTCACTTTCACATCAGGCTACACAGATGAGGACCGCAGCTTTTCTGAGCGCACATTTATATCATGGATAACTTTCTACAGCTGAAGTGGAAGCAAACCGCTACGGCAAAATGAATTACAGTTTCTCTGCATGTACTGAGTTACCTTCTTCCTTTCCAAGCGCTCTTGCTCTTCTCTTTGGAAATGCTTTTCACGTTCTAATCGAATCCGCTCTGCCTCTTCCCGTAGGCGAGCTTCCTCTTCTTTCTGAGTTGATGGTAAAAGAAAAAGAAGCAAGGTATAATTTACTATTTAAGGACAGATTTACACTGATACCTGCTTAACTATGCATATCTACAACACCCTGAAGAGACTTTTGGGGTTTACAAGTCACCAACAATCTTTTCAGCCTGAATCGCACATTTCTTGAGTAATCTCCATGTTTTGCATAGCATTAAGAGATGCATAACTAAACAATGGACATCATATTTGGTTCTGTGCCTTTTCTGGGGCACGTGAATGAAAGCACATCAGATGACAAATGAGGAATACATTTCCTAACCTTCAACATTAAAACAGCAGCTAGGAAAGTATACAAGACATTCATGTTTTGAGTGGTGGATGTTTTTGAGAGTCAAACAAAAGCAGCAGAATGTTTTATTTGGCTAACAGAGTCATTGCTTAATGAGACCAAGGACAAACAGCTACAGGTACATTTACACAAGCTTTCCATTCCT